TATATATATATATATATATATATATATATATATGTGTGTGTGTGTGTGTGTGTGTGTGTGTGTGTATGCATGCATGCATGCAAATAAAGTACATATGACTTAAAATATTCTTTTCTTGCAACTACAGAACAGTTATCTTAACCGGTTGAAAGGGATTCATGATACTTTGGAAACATCACCGTTCTTCAAGAGCCATGAGGTAAAACTATTCATTTTCCCTTTTGTCTTTTAAAAATTAGACCTTGGTCAAATCAGTTCACCTAAACACACAAATGGGAATCACTGGGCATCTAGTTCATAAAAATTCAAAAGAAACTCTGTGTGCATTGAGAGCCCAAGGAAACATTTTTCACTGCCTCACATGTTGACATTTTGTTACTCTTGGAAATTCTGAACCTAAAACTCCAGTTTCTAATTTGCAAACGCTAATATCCTGTGGAGATTTTTTAAGTTGCAGGCTTTATCTTCAGAAGAATTTTGAACACTTGCTCTTAACTCTTGCTGTAGGATACTCATTTTTTTACATTTGCTTTTGCAGGTAATTGGGAGTTCCCTTCTCTTCATCCATGACAAGAAGGAGCAGGCCAAAGTATGGATGATTGATTTTGGGAAAACCACTCCACTTCCAGAGGGACAAGTTCTCCAGCACAATGTGCCCTGGATAGAAGGGAACAGAGAGGATGGCTACCTCTGGGGACTGGATAATCTTATTGAGATTCTAACAGAGTTGTCTCAAAGTGAAGATCTGCATTAAAGCCAAGGGTCCAGCTCTGCCACTGTCCACAACCTAGTTCCTCCAACTGACTTTCTGATCTGCACTACAAGACACTTTTCTTCCACCTTCTCTTCCAGTTCTAAAATTTAGAAGCTCCTTTTATTTTATTTAAGGTATAAATATGCAGTGACGTACCCGAACAAACACTGAACATGAAGTTAAAGTTAGACAAGCCAGATAGTAATGTTGGCCTTACGAGTTAGGCCTCCTGCATCCTAATATGGAAAATATTTTTATGTAAAAAATCTGATACAGTTCTTAACGTGCCTGAGCACAAGGAAGATAATGCCCTAGTCTTGTTTAAATTATATCTAGCTAATAATTGCCAGAGTGAAGGATGCATTTGTAGTTATCTGCTGCCCTCTCATGTCAAAAGCTAGCATTATTTTGGGCCATTGATGTTGAAAGCGTGCTTATATTGGGCATTTTCTTATAGGTGTTCTTTCTTCCTGGGAACCTTCCACAAAAGGAATGGTAACAATTTATATTTACTAGCTTCCCTAAATATAAGAATATGAATATAATAGTTCATAGGAATAATTAACATCAGGTAGATTTTTCTACGTAAGGAAATAATTTCTTGTTGGCTTATACTTATTGTGCAATATTTACATGGTTGTAGCAACTGCAAAAGTTTGCTTTTGTGGGTTACATTACATGGTGCATCCATTTAGCTACTGAAGTTTGTTTGGACTACTGAGGCAAGGGTCTGATCCCTTGTCTAGCCTTCCATTGGCTTGGGATGACCTGGTCGCATGGCAGCAAAGGGGTTGCTGCAGAATGACAAGGGCACTGACTGCCATCCTTTGGGTGTCTTTTTGCTGGCACTGCAGTCCCTTTTGAAAATGACAGTACATTCTCAGGTGAACTCCTGCAAATCATTCCAAATCTCCCATTTTAAGAAGAGGCATTAACTAGACCTAAAGCAGAGTATTATAATGGTAAGCTTCACAATATTTGTATGCCTGCCAAGGAATATGGAAGAGAAAGGACATGGTAGGTAATTTGGTAGGTAATATAGGCAAGACCCTCTAAATAAGGATTTGTTACTTTCAGTCTTGCGAATATATCTAAGTCTCTATTTAGGGCACAGAAGTTGTTTTATAAGTTCCTGGAACATTTGAATTAGACGGCTGAAGTCAAGTGGTCAGCTACTGGGAGAGGAAGATTATTGGTGCATTTGATTTTCTTGGAGAACTCACAATGCTGCAGAAACCTTGGAAATTGAGACTGAGTTTATGTTACAATTTTTTTCTGAGCCATTTCCTGGCTGTTTTTTTAAAATCTTTCTATATTTATGATGTATTCCATATGCCTCTATAGTCTGTTGCTACTATTCTTCCAAACAGTAATGTTGGACCCTGTTGCTTGTACCTGGAGGTGCTGCCCTTGGAACAAGTGTGTATGTTTTAGAGGGTGGCTGTTGGTTGGCACAGGGTCCCTTTGTAAGCTTTTCAGAAAGATTCTGTGCCATTGAGTGTTGCTCCATTCATATATCAGTAGGATAATATTGCTCATTCTTCAGCGCTGTTGTAAATAATTGCTCTGCTTAGATGTTTTTCCCCTTCAGGCTTCCTATGCTGTTTAATAATAGCCTTTGCTGAAAGTGCCTTATGGATGAGTATCTGTTCCACTCAGTGTCATGGAAAAGTGTTTTTGTTTTTTTGTTTTTTTTAATACTATTTATTGCCATACTTTTAGTTATCTAGAACACTAAGTCTTAATGCATGGAATCTTCTAAAGGATAACGTTTAGATTTTGAAGTCTCTTTCCATATTTATGGAAAGGGGAAGACCGTGAAGCAGCATCAGTTCATCCTATTTTAAAAATGTATTTAGCTTTTAAATTACTTCTATTATATACTTTTTAAATTTTTTTAAGCTGGTTTGTTTGTAAAATAAGATTCTTTGCTTTACGGCTTTTAAAGAAGTGAAATATTTCTCCAGATGTCTTTTGGATCTTTCTGGAGGATGGAACTATTGCTGTGAGGTTATTCTCCTAACACTTTCCACACCATTCCCCTTGATTAGCAAGGAGATAAAGAACTTGCAGAGTTATAGAACATCACCAGTGCACACTGCCTGTAAGTCAACTTAAAATAAAAACAACATGATTGTTTGTTGTGATGGATTATCATTTCTTATTGTGTTACGTTTGCTTCAGATATTCTGGGACTGATATAAATGAAATCGGTGAGCTATTTCTTAATATATGATAGCTTGATCTACTGACTGGTACTACATTTCGGCAATGTGGGATAATCAAAGTCCTAAATTCTAGGACTTGCATTATACCAAAATTACTAAGATTTCTAAGTCTACCTCTGAAGCCTAATATCTTGACACAGATTTAGATTTTGGCACAGGTATATAATTGTCTCGTATTCAAGTCAATGAATTATCCGATTCAAACTACAGTACTACAAAGGCTAATGTTTTAGATACTTAAATGTCTTGAATTTAAGCCATTTTAGTGAATTTTAATTTGCATTTTCCACCCCTGCTTTCCACCCTCTTTTCCATCTCATTAGTTATCTCAATAAATAAATGGTCCATTCTTAACAAGCACATGCATATCCCTACAAGGTGAGAGGAGCATAAGTATTTATTGGGGTATTAATAAGTAACAGAAAAGTGTAAATCAGTTCAGTCTTTCTGTATGGTTCTCTCCCTAGAATGCACATGAAATTGTGCATGCTATACCAATCTATTAGGAAGTAAGTCCCAATGAAGCCAATGAGAACTTACTTCTAAATATGTTTGAGTATAGCACTGTCATTTAAACAGGCTTATTGGAGGCAATTTTATAGCAAACTATTTGTAGTGGAAAATTACCCTTTTCTCAGAATTCTGGCCCTTCTCAATTACCCTCATTGCACTTTATGCTGATGTCCCAGAATTTGGTAAGACAGTCTATTAAGTTATTTTGAGTGGTTGACAGCTTGATTGACATATGCAACAAATTCAGAAACAAGTTTTAAACACACACAAACTAACATAATAGGGACAGTGTTTCTGGATTTGTTCCTTCTGTGTTACTTTATATGTTGAAGGAAGTGGTACCATTCACTCTGTTACCTCAGAATTGTCTTGGTTCATCATCTTCATTACGAGGTGGGAAATGACTTCTGAGCAATATCAGTCACCGTATCAAAATCAGATCAGGCAGGTATAGAGGCAAATATAAAGGCAAAATAATTGTAGAAGACTGAGACCTGTACTATGGGATTCTTGAATGTTTCTTCACATCTAAGAGTAAGCATGAGCCTCAGTAGTGGACCATTATCAAAAGAGGCAGAAAAAATGTGAAAATAAAGCATTTGTCTAAGACAATTACATAATTTCTGAAATCAAGGTAAATGGAAATCACTAACTTCAAAATGTCACCTAAATTATGCAGTGGAGAAGGAAAGGCATTCCAAATATACTGAAGATTACATAGGCTCTTATTGCTCCAGTTTCCCTGAAGTGACGCTTTGGCACTGATTAGTGAATTCTATCAGGTTTTATCAGCTTATCAACTTTGCCTTTCCATGAGAGCCACTTTGGTCTAGTGATTAAGGCTCCAGGCTAGAAACCAGGAGATTGTGAGTTCTAGTCCCACCTTAGGCACAAAAATCAACTGGGTGACTTTGGGCCAGTCACTCTCCCTCAGCCCAACTCTCCTCACAGGCTTGTTGTTGGGAAAATACGAGGAGGAAGGTATTAGGTATGTTCGCCACCTTGAGTTATTTATAAAAATAATAAAGATGGGAGCAGGGGAGACCAACTAAGTTGGTTCAGCGTTCACATTTTAAGAGGAAAGGGTGAGAGATCACTAAAGAGTTTTACAAGCTGGACCTAAACTGATGGCCACCTTGCTGATCTCCTGACTCTTGCACTTAGAGGTTCATTGCATGCAAATTTTACACAATGATTCTGCTCTATTTCAGTGCTTCCTCCTCTCCCAATAATTTCCTCGTGACTGCTGGGGGAAACAGCAATACTTCTAGTTTTCCATGTGTGATTATGTTCTCTGAAATTTTTCAAGTGATCTGGAGGCTAAGAACAGCTACCACAGGCAAGAGATGAAACAACAGCCTTACACAACCTGGTGCCCTCCAGCTTCTTGGATTTCACCTCCCATAATTCCTAGTGATCAGGGTGAGAAGTAAAATAATCAGGATCTGCCACATGTGACATAATCAACTTAATCAGCATTTTATTTTATTTAATTCAGACAAAAGATCAGGCTGCATTTCACAGCAACCTTTTAGAAGCAATTTTCCTGTAAAATGAGATGGTTGTGCTCAGTCTAGCCAACAGATGGCAGTATTTTGATGCGTGACTTGCAGACACTTTCTCGTGCACAGGCACAAGCCTAGAATAAAAACGATCTGATCCAAATTAGTTTTTTTTTTTAATAACATTTCAAAATTAATTATATTGATGTCCTCTCTAGTTTGGCTCTCAGACTTCGTAATATGTTTGAGGAACAAGTGTCTATTTCATAAGAAAGAAGCAATAGATTTGAGTAGCATGTGACCCATTGAAGTCTCTAGCAATTTTGTATCCCTGTATAGTATTTTATCCCTCTACATAACTAAAATCTGGATGTTATAAAAAACAAACATGTGCACATCTTACCTGATTCTTATGTATTTGAAAGAGATAACTCGATATATTTATACCCTCTCTTGCTACCTACTCTGACAGGGGCTAAATAGCAATATAAAATTATATAAAACAACAGTAAAACATAATCAAAAGCATCAGACCACAACAAAAGCAGCAATACAACAGGGTTATCAAGAGGCATAATCATTCATCAGTTCCTCCCATGTGCCTTCTGAAATAACAGTGTGGTAACTTATCTTTTGCATTTCAGAAATAAGGAAACCAAGTCAGGCTTGGAAAGAAGACTGAACTGTCCGAGTAACATTGACATGGTCTTGTGAGTGATGGCTGCTCCCCAATACACAGCTGCAATAACCACACATTTCTGATATGAGAACTCTGATTAAAAAAAGAAAAGCTACCAGAAGACGGTGATAACTTAAATCACAGAGTAAGTCTCCAAGGCAATAGAGAAAGGTTTGGAAACCTTGAAAACGTAACATCTCATTGAAACGGATTGTGAGCTGCTGCTATCTGTAGCAGATTGCATGATTTCATTTTGACCTCCCTCCCAATTTAGTGACAAGAAAATGGATCCCAATATTAGCTAATAGAATATCAGTCATATTATGAGATTTAAAACTAAATTATGCAGTGCCGAAATGTGGTGCGGCAAGAAGGTTCAGCTCTTTCCAGCTAAAGCAAAGTGACCAGTATTCTGTTGGCATGGGCTTACCTCAGTGGCTATCCTTGCACGTCACGCCCATGGTTAACTGTAGTTTAGGAAGGAACCCAATTTTCTGGATTTGCATGACCCACTGAATCATAAACTAACCACAGGGTCTGGGTCTGCAGTATATGCTAACAAGTGGTGGTCTAGTGTGTGGGGTGGGGTGTCCGCAAGCATTCCCTCGAGTGGAAGGGAGAGTGTGACGCAGGCCCCAGCACAAATGGACAGAACTGCTCCCTCCAGTGATTTGATTGGAGGAAAGCCACACACTCATGAGACACGTGAAGCCTTCCAGCCTCAGTGCTTCCAAGTGAGCCTTTTCAGATCTTCTGGCAGAGGTCCCTCGGTGAGCCTCTCCAAACATGGCAAGTATGTTATCATTTCCCTTCCCCGACAGCTATTAATTTATTTGCCAGCTTGCTTTTTTGCCAAGGCACTCAAGGCCATCTATGCTATGTGGTATGCTTACATCTTGCTGTGCTCATGAGGTTGATTACCTTCAACTTGTCAAAAGATACCCCCCGAGCTTCATGATTTTACTAGGATTTGAATTAGGTGATGCCTTGTACGAGGTTCTTGTTATTATGGACAGCCCAGTGATTTGCAGCATGAGATTTTTCCAAGTATTCTATGGTCCAGCACCTTTCTGCAATCCAGCACTGAGATACTAGTATTTATTTTCAGTTTTAGTGTAGGACCTATAAAGCAAGGGTGAGAAAACTATGTTCTGCATCCCTTGTGTGGCCTATCCCCTACTTTTCCTGTACCCTTGAAACCGCACTGCCAGAATTGCAAATGCAGCTCTTTGGGGGGATGTGAAAACAAATTCCAAAGTTTGTAAGCCTTTGGAAAAAATTGACACCACATCAAAAGATGGGGAATGGCCCCCTCAAACTCACAACCCTTGGAAATCATAGGTCCACCCACTGAAATGATTTACTGTAATCCTATCATTACTTTGCTCAGAATGATTCTTGGTCACCATCTGATTAATTTTTAAGTACCATCCCCCACCTGCTCCTGACATAAAGCTTCAGGCTGTTTTTAAAATGTTTCCATTTTAAGATTTCCCTCAGAAGGATGTCCTCTGGGGTTAAGTCAATCTGACTTAAAATGCTAAACGTGTGACAGTATTTTCAACAGGAACTAGAAAGCTGAAATGCAGAAATTAAAAGGGAGAACTTTCACAGCTTCATGCTGGTTGACATCTGAGCAGGCTTGATTAGATAATCCGAGCTGTCTTCATTAGTCCTGAAAGTGCCTTAGACCACCATTATGTTTTATGAAATGGGCCTGCTGCTTCTGTTAACCTAAAGGAAAAGCATGAGATTCAGAAAACCAGTCAAAGATTACAAAGGTTTTGCACTTTCAATACTGGGATTTCATGTTTTATCAGAGTGCCTTTGGCAGGAAGACAATACACAGAATTCCATGCCAACATTCAGGGATATTATTTCTGATTTTAAGCATTCAGAAGCCAATAACTTTTAGAAGAGGAATCAGATGCAGATCAAGGGCCTTTCTTCACTTGTACCCAACCATGGAACATACATGGCCTAGCAACCTTTTTTTTTTTTTCCTGCCTTCATCTCATTTCCAACCCAAACCTGAGGCAGCCTTAAATTGTCCCTAGCTGTTCTGGATCTAAAGGTATGCTCTGCCCCTTAAGCAAAGAATAAACTGTAGCTATATCCTGAATACAATTAGACATGCTTCATTGACATTAGAATAGTCTAATAGCTATCTCCCAAAAATTATTCTCCCCACCACCACATCCCTTTTGCTCCCTATTCT